CTCTCTCTCTCACCCACACTCTCTCTCACCCACACTCACACTCTCTGTCTCACCCACACTCTCTCTCTCTCACCCACACTCTCTCTCTCTTACCCACACTCTCTCTCTCTTACCCACACTCTCTCTCTCTCTTACCCACACTCTCTCTCTCTCACCCACACTCTCTCTCCCTCGCCCACACTTTCTCTCCCTCACCCACACTCTCTCTCTCTCCTTCCTCCACACTCTAGTCTGATCTGATTTTCACCATTTCCTCTCTCTCAGCAGCGATGCAGATTCCTGTATGATCTCTCTCTGTGTCAGAGCTGTCTCTGGAGGATAGTCTTTGCTGACTCTCACTCCAATTAGCTCGGACTTATTTAAGCTGCATTTGTAGTCTTCTGTATTTTTTTTAAAATGTCTTTTTATGAAATAAATCAGCTTGATTTCAACATTCCAATATGTGTTATTGCAAACCACAAAGACCACCCTATGATGTGTGGCTCATCCTCATCATGTGTATAGAATAGACTACATAACATATTATTACACGACACATAAATACCGCGGTCCCACACCTTGTATAAACACCCGTATAGTGTTATATGGCACCAGACTGGACACCATTTATATTTTATTTATTTATATTGTGGTATAAACATTCATGAACAGTGTGTACATGCATACATCGTTACTGCATAAGGATGCCCAACTGTTGGCAAAAAAAAATCTATAACTGCGTAGTCTCCAGTGGGGTCCATACGGTGTACCTATAAAATCATAGTTGGGTTACACACTATTTCCTGCATTGATACAACCAAGGGGAGCACATGTAATAAACATGACTGTTGACATATGTTTTGCTTTATTTGCCGGTGCTTCCAACTTCCAACTTCGTTCCGGTCTTCTTCCGAGATCTGAGTCTTCGGCCTCTTCATTGGCTGGGCCCAGATTATATAAATCCTGTAACCTTGTGCAAAGGTCCAGGAAAATCAGTGAGCCCATACCAGAAGCAGGACATAGCATCTCTGGGGACATTTGTGCACCAGAGATGTATAGAAGTTCTCCAGGTTGCCAATATTGAATTCAATTTTTTAAAACAGTTTTAGAAAATCACAGCAGCTGCAGATTAAATAGAAAGGTGATTTTGAATAACATTACATTACAGAATGGCTTGTGTGGCAATTGTATATTCTATATTATTTTTTTTAACTAAAGTAGTGTTTTCCATTAAAGTGACACTAAACTCAGGAGTTAAATCTTAAAAATGCATTCAACTAACCTAACTATTAACAAACATGTATCTTATCTGTGTATCACTCGGCTGTAGATCCTCCAATCATCTCTGAATTGGTGCTGACACTGTCCTTCCTATTGGAGGGTGGCTACTTTTGTTCCCCATGTTCCCTGTGTGTGTTGTAAAGTAGTCACCACTCCAAGCTCGCTCCCGGGATGGACTACAATCTGAGTACGAATTAGTAAACTAAATGTGCAATTGTAGTCCATCACAGGAGCGAGCTTGGAGCGGTGGCTACTTTACAACGCACACAGGGACCATGGGGAACACAAGTAGCCACCCTCCAGAAGGAAGGACAGTGTCAGCACCAATTCAGAGATGATTGGAGTATCTACAGCCGAGTGATACACAGATAAGATACATGTTTTTTAATAGTTATGGTCCTGGAATGCATTTTTAAGATTTAACGCCTGAGTTTAGTGTCACTTTAAGCAATGGCAGAAAGATTCAATTGAGACACAGAGTTCTCCCTCTAGTGGCCAATTTGCATATTTCTATATTTAGTACAATAAGAACAATATGGAGAATTTCAGTACAAGTCATTGTTATTTCAGTGATGTGTAGCTCAGGTAGATACAGATTTGCCAGCTTCATGTTATCCAACCCCACTGCGGATGTCATACCAGACAATTGTACCTCTATAGAGATGTCTTGTATTCAGCTACTGCAGTAACTACTTAGCCAATTAGAATGCAGTGGAGATAATGGCCCGATTTTTAATTGCTACAGATCTCTGCTACAAAATTGTTTCAGGCTTATTATATTCTGTAAATTCCTTTTTATAGTTATAGTCACTTGTGTTAGTGGGATGTTTGTCATTAATTCAATTCTTGGGGTTTTTTTCCCCTTTATTTTTCTCCTAGCTTTCCTTCCCTTTCTCTCTGTCCTGCTTTTTTCATGCTCTGTATATTGTACTGTTATTTGGCAGTTGTCTTTGTGCTGTCTCTTTTATTGATCTCTTTCCCGGGCCAGGACATATATATAGACATATTGCACACCTGAATGACGATGCTTTTTGTACAAGTTTCACTCTTTATAAAATTGAATGCTAGAACGCGCTATTGGATGCAGAATGTTGTCTGCTTTAAAATCACAGCTGCGTTTTATCTGTACAGACCACCAAAAGGATGGATAGTTTCATGCAGTCTGCATCCCAGCTGAAGGACTGACAGAATACGCCACAAACTGTACAGAGCGCCCGTGTTCAGTGATCATTAAAGTTTAAGGGTTCCTTCCAGAGATTGTTAGGGGTTCCTTGAGCAGTGGCTGATTGACCTTTAATCTGATGGTGCTTGCATAGTTCCAGGTCCAACGCCACTTAAAAGAGCTAGCAGTATGACACCAATGATCTTTTTAACTGTCTGTGAGAGTGGCACTCTAACCACCACTGTAAGGGGGGCATTCTACCAACTGACTATCAATATAAGGGGTGTTTGTCCCACTGACCCCAATTGAATTTGTTTTGGCAGGGTTTACCCAGGACCTGAAAAATATTTTAAGGGTCCCATTGGGGTATAAAGGCTGGGAAAGGCTAGTCTATAGGCTTGCATTGGGATTGAACTTATATATTTAACCCAAGAAGGTAGTGTAATATTTTTGTAGAACTTTCCTCCCTGGAGACGCAAAGCGCTTATCAAATTGGTGTTGGGATTCATTGAAGGAAAAGGTTTGTTAGGTTACATAGTTACATAGTTAGTCAAGTTGAAAAAAGACACATGTCCATCGAGTTCAACCTATGCACATATAGGTTGTTACTGTAAGTTACATATAGGCAAGCCTGTAGCTACCATGGGGCGAGTGAGGCACTTGCCTCAGGTGCAGCAGAGAGGGGATGCAGCCAGGGACGCAACCAGGGGCGCAGTCAGGGGGCGAGCAGAGGGCACCATTGGCAACACGGGCACCAGGTGGCCAGCACAGCCCTGGCTCAGCAGGGAGAAGAGGAGCAGCACAGGCTCCAGCTTCTCCTCAAATCCCTGCTGCTCTCCCCCACCTGTATGGGTGGAGGACTCTGTGCCTTCCATTTCTATTTCAAAAGGGAAATGTCCGGGGTCTGTTTAGACCCCTGTTATTTCCCTGAAGCCCCCCAACAGTAAAAACAATAAAAAATTAATTTGAAAAACACCACACACACACACTTACTAGACATGTGCAAAGACTAAAAATTAGTTTCGGACTAAATGAACAGAAACTAAAAATGTTTTCATTAGTTTCGTCAAACTAAGCAAATGTTATGCTATTTTGTATTCAGCCTCCAGTGCATTCTGCCCATACGGTCCGCCATGCTGGAGGCGGGGCCATGATGTCACATACTGCACATGTCTGTTGGGGGCTCAATTTTCTGTACTTGCCTCGGGCGCAAAAGGAGCTAGCTACGGCTAGGTGTTGCTATAAGTCAGGGTGAATCGATGTGTCTCCAGTCTGCATTGAAGAACATTCAGAGAGGGTACTTCCCATACAATGGATGGCAGTGTATTCCAGATTGTGAGTGGTGCATGATAAAAATGCTTGAGATCCAAAAGATTTGAAGATGACTCTGGGCATGTATAACTTTCCTTTTTCTAAGGCATGTAGGGCAGCGTGTGGGAATACGGGTAACCCAAAGCTCTGTCAGCCCAAGTTATTTAGGGCTTTATAAGTGAGTAGATCAGTTTTGAAGGTTACCGTCCATTAAATGGAAACCAGTGTTAGGAGCAAAGAATTAGGGTGATGTGGCAATGATGGGGATGGTGAATGAGTAGCCTGGCTGCTGCATTCTGTACCAGGGAGACCATAGTAGAAGAATTTGGTGTAATCCAATCTAGATGATACAATAGCATGGATAATTTTGGCAAATCCTCTGCTGGAATCTGATGTTTGATTCTTCTAGCTTTTTTACTGCTATGCTGTGAATAGCTTTAATGGCCCAGTTAATTTTATGTCCTGCAATTCATTGTCTATTCAGCACACACACACAGCTTAATGTCTCAGAGTATGGGCACCCCTCCGCCCCCACATTTAAATAAGGTAATTTAGACTTCGTCAAATGTGAGCAGGCAGTGTCTGCTTTCTTATCAGAATGCCCAGCATGCTTTGCAAGCTAAATGTTAAACAATGAGCCTCTTGCCGTCCAGCCAATTGTAATTAAACGGCCAGACGGCACACTCTTGACAGCGGGTAGGCATTTTTAAAATCCTTTCTAAGCACCCCGTTTGTGTGCACGCCCCTGCGCACGCACAAGTGAAAAACCGCACACATTGTCTACAGCCGACCAAGGCTGTTGGATACCAGTGTTTGGGCGGCTCTGTAGCTGCCCGATCGCTTGTATTGTGCCGGGGAGTGTGCATAGTGCCCCACGTTCCCCGCTGGCTATCCTGGGCTCCGCTGTCCGTGACTGGCACAGTGAGTCTCCGTGGCTGGATGGGAAGGAGATCAGTACACTTTTGCTGGATGCACTCCCCTCTGATCACTGGACCCAGCAGTGATATCTATTACATCACTTCCAGTTTCAGTGTGTCATATCTCCAGCTGCTGTAGCAGGAGAAGAAGCTGGTGAAGCAGATCCCTGGGATCCCTAGATGGCATTAGGGGTATAATAGAAGGGCTTGTATAGGGAAATGTTGTGTGTGTAGATCATGGATCCAGGTTATCACCTTTTTATTTACCAGTTTACTGATGTGTGTTTTTATTTTCTTAAACTCCAGTTGCGGAAATCAAAGAAATCACCAGCCAATCACAGGACACGGGGAGCATGGAAAATAAGGAGAATGGCTCAGTGGATTCTAAAAAGTAAGTCCTGCTTGGTTTACATGGAACATTGTAAGTTCTGATAAAGGGGCAGTCCAGCCAAAACTCGTATGTCAGTTTTTGGCAGATACTAGAGAGCTGAATCTACTAATATGCTTTATCAATGAAGTCCTTGCATTTGAATTCACAAGTCTGCACAAAGCTGCACCAATTACGAGGAGTCCAACTTCCCACTGGTTTCATGTAATTGTACCCCTTGCAATCATCGGATGAAAATTTTCGTCCGATGATCGAACCGTCGTACAATTTTCATACGGCGGCCCCATCCTGCCCCAACCATCGCACAGTTCAATTAGCGATCTTTAGCAGAAATCAACTGGATGAATTTCATTAATTGACCGCACAGATTTTCGTTTGCGTATGAGCAGTGTTAATAGTACGAATTTTGACGTACGGAAACGCCACCAACCTTGCGAAAATTTACGATCAACCGAAGTTTTCTCGCATGCTGGAAAGACAAACGTCGTACGATTGTACAGTATTTGTGGTTTTAGACTCCCCATCAACCTTACAAATATTGGACGAAATCGCAAACGAAAATCGGCCGATATTCGTAAGGTGTATGAGCACCTTAAGAAGCAAAGGACTGGGGTGATGTGGCAATGATGGGGATGGTGAGTAAGTAGCTTGGCTACTGAATTCTATACCAGGGAGGCCATAGGAGAGGAATTTGGGGAATTAGTAGAGGAATTCAGATTGTAACATATGGTCAGCTTTAAAATGTATTTAAAATGATGAACAACATTTTTATATTTTGCAGCTTAACAGTCCTTCGATGTGGTGGCTGCATTGGTTTTCTTTTTTAGACTCTTTTTGTACTTTTATTTTTACCTGGTGATCCTGACTTCCTGCCAGGTAACACACACTTCCTTACCTAGGGTGACAACACTCATTCAGTGCAGTGTATCTGTGGCAGAGGAGCAGTATTGTCACCCAGGGGGACTACAAAACACCTTTTTCATCACCATAACCAGAGGACTGGGCAGGGCTTTTAGTGCAGCACAAGTATGGGGTATGATAAATTAGGAGATCATTAGATTTCTGGCAGATCAGCTGCTGTTTTTCTGTTCATTTTAGAATGTCAAACATG